GTTGCGTACTGAGATCACTGACTCGGTTATCAAGAAAAAAAAGTATTTGTTGTGGTGGCAATGATATTTAGAACTCAGTTGGAAGTTAGTGGTGCTAGAAAACAGAATATATTTTGTTTATGGGCTTGCTCTGTTGTTTATGTATGAACTAATAATGAGATGTAAAATGGTGAGTGTCAGCGTATCAAGAGCAATGACAGCAGCTGATAGATTATCTAAAATTGAGGTTTTGTTTTATAGTGGCATCCAGACGGAGCAGTGAAGAGCTGATTTTTCAAGGTCGGGTTACTGTGAATGGTTCTGTTTGCAAAACTCCACAGGTCAAGTTCAGAAATGCTCCCATGTTGCTAAATTTTTTAGGGTTCGACTCCGGTGCATGTTTTTTTTTGGGGGGTTATATTGTTGACATCTATTCTGCTTGTTGGCAGACTAAAGTAGATCCAGCTAGAGATGTAATTTATGTCAACGGAAATCGTCTTCCGAAGAAATTGCCTTCAAAGGTCTATCTTGCACTAAACAAGCCAAAAGGGTGTGTCTATCCTTTTCTTTTTATCATTAACACTGGAGGAGTTTGGGATTTTGATTGTTATGTCTGTGAGTCGAGTTGACTCAAGTTTAACAAAATACAGGTACATATGCTCATCCGGGGAGAAAGAAACTAAGTCAGTCATTTCCCTTTTTGATGATTTTATAAAGAGTTGGGTATGTTTTCTTCTGCTTGTATGGGTCTTTTGGAAATGTTTGTTCTTTTAATAAAACTGTGTCCTGGGATGAGCTATTTTGTATTGCTAATTTATACTAGGATTTATGTTATACACAGTGTCAGTTCTAGAAGTTGTACCCAATAAGAAAAGCTGTTACTTCTGGAGCATTGCCTGTACTAACTCATGACTTTTTATATCTGCTGTATCTTCTTATTAAAGGATAAAAGGCATCCTGGACAACCAAAACCTCGGCTCTTTACAGTAGGTCGACTTGATGTTGCCACGACTGGCTTGATTATTGTGACTAATGATGGTATAGATGACATTTTCTTTTATAATTCCTCAGCGCATGTTATTTGTGACCTCACCAAGTCTTATAAAAAAAGATAAACCTCATAAGGTTCATTTCAAATCCGCCTGCACAGTAATCTGGTTTATGCTGCTCTTGCAGGGGAGTTCGCGCACCAGATTTCACATCCTTCGTCTAATTTGTCAAAGGAGTATGTTTTTTTTTTTATGTTTTCCCTATTTATATGCCTTGATTTTTTTTGGGTTGGTT